AAAGTACCTTGGTTGTAAGAAGGATCAACGACCTTGTAAAATGTATGTGTAGAAATGTTGGGATAGAAACTAATTCATATTCCTTTGGTAAACAACCGCAATCGAGTGAGGCAGTATAATTGACAGTCATTTCAATTCATCAAAAATCTCAATTCACTTTCACTCTCATATAAATTGTCTACATTCTCTACGCAACATAGTCGCATCACAAATGTTTTTTTTCATTCTCAAAGTTTTTCTTTCAATATAAATACACGGACATCAATTGGATAAACGTCTATTAACTATAACAATGACATTATAATTTTACATTCATATTACAGTTTTTTCAAAATGTTAATAGAGATCTTTTGAAAACCAAAAGCATTTTGCCTAGAAGTAAGTCTGAATAATTATTATGTACTGTCTTGACATTTGAGGGATTATGCGTCATTTGGCATCATCTAAATTTCAATATTCACAATACAAAGCAGTCAGTTTTTCGTATTTTTCAGGATTGTGATTTTTATTTTTGATTAACTCCACATAACTGCGCCACATGACAGGTAATTCCACACAGTCAACCTTTACATGTTAGCGTAAAGCAAGCATCCGGAAAGCGTGAAAATGTATAAATGATTTAGCCAGTAGGTTCCAAAACAAAACAAAACAAAAAAAAAAATCAAAAACAAAAACAAAAAATGCGTGGAAGCGAGATAAAAGCACGGACGACTGAGAAACGACTGTGGCGTATCCTCGCAAAATGCGAATTTCATTTGACTCGCTGTCGTAAGCACAAGCTTGCAGCAGCTCGGCTCGCTGACTAGTTCTGAAATATTGGGACTCGCTTTGGGAGATTCGATTTTTAAAAAATGTCCAGATTTGCAAGGGCTACCGAGCGCTAAGCCTATATAAGCGAAAAACAGGAGCTCATCCGACGCTCTCATCCACTTTAATTTCCTCCTTTATTTTTTCTTTTGAGTCCTTTGCCCGATAAGAGTGAGAGTGAAGGGCCCGGAGCGGGGGGCTGGGGGGGGGCGAGGGTCGCACTTTAAAGAGAGAACTCGCTAGACTTTTTGTGAATGATTTTTATGAGCATACATGATTATACTTGTAGGTATTATGTATGGGTGTAAAAAATTTAAATCGAAAGAAAATTTTATTTCCCGAGGTTGTTACTCAGTGGTTTCTTATTGCGTTAAAAATTTTAAATAAACAGAAAAGGTCGAAATTTGGAAGAACACAGTTTTAATTTTATCGTAATGAAAATCAAAGAGCGTTCAAATTGAAGGAACTGGCATTTACATAATAGTAGTTAAAGTAAATTAATTATTAAAATAAGCAATGTAGTTACAATATAATACATTTTCACCGACGTAAAAATATAAAAACAAAAGAAAAAGATGAAGACGATGAAAGAAACTAGCTATATATATATATATATATATATATATATATATATATATATAATAAAATTGTTCTAATTATTTCGGATTTAATCACTAACGTTAGTATAAGAAAATTTCAAATATATAATACGTAATAGCAATAATTATTACCATTACTATTCGTGCTAATATATTATTGGTAGGAAGTGATTAGATTGAATAAACTCTGAGCATTAATGCGAAACTCTTGAAAAAAAAAATTTAATTTACATGCAATATAAAACGCTACTATTTTCATATTAATAAAAGAACGCAAAATTAGAAAAAATACTTTCTTAATCTTTCTCAACCTTTAATATTCTGTAAAAGCAGCCATATATTCTGAAAGAGTGAAAAAATACGATTCATATAAATAAAGAAATGTTAGTTGAAACGTAGATATCCATTAATTATACGCGATGTCTTGTTTAGAATAATGAAGGGATTCCTGAATGTAAGGCCACGCTTAGGCTCCAACGCTTCAAATAAATAAATTGAATTTTTCCCCGTAGAATCGTTAAAGAAATCGAAGGAACCACGGTAGAGGTAAAACTGTAAAGGACACTTAGAGGCTAAGTATCAAGGATTATCTCGCGCAACTTCATTCAGAATTTAATTCGACTGGATTTTTCGTTGCGCTCGTCGTAGGGAAACTGATTTCCGCGGTACGAAATATAATGGGTAAGGGGGGGGGGGGGGGGGAATCCTGCCTCGTGAACCCGAGGACACGAGCTGGAGATGAAACCGACTAAAAGCTTGACGCCGTACGGGGACCGGAAAATGGCGTTTGAGCTCATCGCGTGAAATTGCCAGACAAAATGTTTGAGTCGGCGGAAACTCTTCTCCCATCCACGCTTCTGCCCAAGTTTTTACACAAATATTGCACTTACATGAAGCGCCGGATGCCCGAATGCGCCCGGGAGGAGCATTCGTTCGTTCAGTCGCTTTTCGATTGAATTACCCAATGGATCAATGAAATCGCCGCGCTACGAATTTATATCAAATTTTTATGAAATTCGCCATTTGTCGGATGTGCATTTTATTTGGTTGGCCGGCTTGAACATTCTTTTATACAACCACTATTGGTTATGCGAGCTAATTTATTTGAAATATTTGAACAACCTTGTAAACTATCTGTGAAATTGGAAATTTAATAGAAAAACATCTTTCCCATTACTCTCGTACGGCTCGCTTATTTTCTTTGAAAATTCAATTCTAACTTTTGAAAACGTCGATTGATACTCGTTGATGAAAAATACATGTGCTCCATATAATGTAAAATTTATTTATAATGTGTTGCCATTGTCACTATTAATATTTAAACCCTTAAATGGAATTTGAAAGCGACTATAAAAGATGTCTAACATTTCACATTCAAAGACTTCTCTTCTTTTTTTTTTTTTTCTTTTTTTTTTTTTTCACATACGAATCAGTAGATACTATCAATTTTTATATTTAAACCATCAAATATTTATTTCCTTTTTATATATTTAATTTTTTATTGACGACTAAGCGTTATCTATAAAATTAAAATATCCTCCGGTTAGCTATAAACGTATGTGTTTTAGTTTATTTTATTTCATTTTATGTCATTTTATTTCATTTTATTTCATTTTATTTCATTGGATTTACTTCCTATAAGCTGGCCAAAATCCATATAAAATTATTGTTTTGATTTTTGTCTTTAAACGTTATTTTTATTTTTTTCTTTTCTTTTACTCTGGCACATATACCTACGTATGTGTTTCAGCATTAGCGAAAGCACGTGAAAGCTCAGCTTGTCTTCAGTAAAATTTGTAAAATGAAAGAAGGAGAAAAAGCGGCGAGTAAATTATAAAAGAAAAATAAAGATGGAACGGCGGTGGCTCGATTCGCCGCTACGTTGCACTTGTAAGTCAACGAAGGAAACATTAAAGCTTTGTTTCTCATCAAGTTAATTACAATCAAGAATCAAGCGACTGAGCCAATTGTAATTGAAGTTTCCCGCACTTTTATTTGCGTGCTAACTCGTTTGGCTCCGTTTCATTTATCTTTTCATTGCAGCAGCGTTTCAAACAAATTCACTATAATCAAATAATTTAAAATTGTAAATATTTTGATAGTTCGAGGCCGAAATTTTAATGGCCTTAAGCCGTAACTCTCCGACTTCTACACACATGCCTGCTAATTCGATCAATAATTCAGCTAAAAGTAATTATTACGCAGCTTTATAATTCTTTATAATTCGCGTGTAGAGATCTAGGATGATCTAACAGTCATCTAACAGTTTACCAAAGGTTTAACAATCTATTTTCTCGATTTCTTGAGTCGAACGTTGTATTTACTGATTGACGTAAATATCACGTATAAAGCTAACGTGTGCTTCATTGCAATATAAATTACTCCGCGATATTGAATTTTCCATTTGCCGTGAAACGAAAGGATGATTCGATGAGCTTCTTTATATAAAACAAGCAAAAACAAAAATCTATACGTATGTAATGTCGAAAGAGAATAAGGTTTAAGAATTTCGAAAAAAAAAAAACATCGATCAAGAGGATTGTGCTCAAGCTAGTATTGTGGTATACTAAGCGCTTGGCTTAAATATATAATTAAAATTGCATAATAAATCACGCAGAATTGTGTAAGGGCCCTCTTTCTGAGATATGATTCTGCATGTAGGGTGATTGGTGGGAGGGGGGGAGGGGGAAGGATAAGGACGTCTCGCGCCACTTCTTTTCTTCCTTACTCTGAAAAATAAAATTGTTTCGTCCTTCCCCTTACTAGCTCCCATTAAATTCGAAAGACGAGCGAGATTTTACGACACTTGGAGGATGCTCAGGAATCCATCAGCATTCCAAGATGCGTTGAGTCTTTATTCGAACGATAAAAAATCCTTTATTGCATGATCCTCGAGGTACGATAGGATTTTTATACGCGGCTGGGTTATCGGATTCTTTATTAGATAATAAAAGGGCTTTATTATAAAAATGTAATGTTTCTATTGCGATTGAAATTTCGTATTGTTATGTTTTATTTTTAAATTATGAAATAAACGTTCGATGAGAGCGTTAGGGCAACAAACGTCACGTGAATAATTTGATAATTTTGCATTATTTTAACGTTCGTGTAGCGGATCGAGAAAAACTTATTTTCCCCTGTGGCATATTAAAAGTTTTTTGGAAGTACCTGAAACCTAGTTTTACGAATTTATTACGTTTCAATTTATTCATTATTGAAAAGTCAAATGTAAAAGTAAGTCTTTAAATATCTAATAATGAAAATTAGTCATAAAATTATTCGTCCTTTATTCCATTCGCTTTGATTGCAGTCTACGTCCTGTCCCGCAGCAACGCTCGCCCGTAAAAATTTAAATTTACACATCATTCTCCATTGAATATTAACGTCCAAGATATATGTATATGTGTATATATATATATATATATATATATATATATATATAGAGAGAGAGAGAGAGAGAGAGAGAGAGAGAGAGAGAGAAAGAAAGAATATAGATATAGATTATTGGTTATAAAGAGCGAGTAGAGCAAATTCTAATAAAACACTGTTAGCCAGTTGTGTTAATGGATAAAATTTTTGCCTCGATGTTTTCAGGTACAAAGTCGAGGTAGCGGGAAAGTCCCTGCCCGTCCTCACGAATTTAGATAAGGGACGCTACGGTGTGTTGATCTTCGAGAACCTGAACAAATACTTGCAGATGGACAAATGGAATCGCGAACTACTTGACAAATATTGTCGGGAATATTCGGTGGGCATCGTCGGCTTCACGCCCCCGGGCGAGGAGAGTCTTGTCGGCGCTCAGCTCAAAGGTTTCCCCCTCTTCGTCCACACCAATCTGAGACTGAAGGTTCGTTTGCTTCTGACACATTATATTTTGTCATTGCTTATGCGTGGAACTGTTTGAACGTGCTGTGGATTAACGAGCAATTAAAAATCAATTTCCACTTCGGGATGGATTTTAATTTCCGATCCGAGTTACACGCAACTTTATCATATATCATTGCCAGACACGTTCCGACGTAATTCTTTTCGAGGGGCCACTTAATGCGAGATGTATTGATAAGGGACGTCTCGTCGACGTTAATACACTTTATAATGTCGTCTCGCGAGCATTAAATGCATGTTAGTAATGCGTTGTGTCGCTGTAAAATATTATTGATTCGTAAAGCGATGGAATATGATGAAAATATCTATTACTCGTAATAAAATGCAAACTGTCGTTTTTCTTTTTTTCTTTCTTTCTTCATATTTATGGTGTTGATGCATGGAAACCACACCCATACAAATAATATATTTTCTTTTTCGTATTGCACATTTTCTCATGACGATTTTGTATTTACTTAATTGGCAGAATATAAAGTAACGATTTAAATGGTAACGATTATGGAAATTTAAAAAAAAAAAAAAAAACTTCACGGTAACATTCAATATCGCTTTCATTCTCGGTATTTACGCATACGATCTAGAACTTTAAAACTTTACGTAGTAAATTTTATTTTCTCTTAATTCTTTTGTTCTATACGTCCGCTGTTTTACATAATATATTTTCAAAGAGTTTATGATTTAAATTTATTCTTTATCTCTGGCTTGCCAAAACTCGATTTTCTCCTTATATGTGGGATTTCAGTTTTCTAAAAAAGAAAAATAAAAAATAAAAAAAAATTTACACATTATTTGAAATAAAAGAAGAGGAACTTGGAAAATGCAAGCTCTTATCCGACGTGAAAATTTGCATGAAAGATTGATGAAACTTTACAATTTTTTTTATATCTATAAATGGAACATGTTTAATACATTCTTAAGAAACAGACTCAATGTAAAACGCCTAATCCAATATTCGGTTTAAATTTTCCGAAAGAGCCTTATTTAATTGAAATATTAGCCAGGATTTTATAAATGAGAGACTTCGATCACCGAATATAATATTTTTATTGCGTATGTATTTAAATCTACTCGCATGGCTTTTAGCCAGACGCATTTTCGTAAATTAGATTTTATTTTTTTGTTTTTGTTTTTTTTTTTTTTTTTTTTCAATATATATATATACAACTATTTGGCGCGGACGCGGGCGCACGTATGAAGTATATAAATTAAAGGAAAAGAGATAAATAAATAAGAAAATTTCATGAAATACCTTTGAAAACAACAAAGCGGGACAATCGAACACTCCGCGCCTATCCATACCTAAGCTAACATGGCGCAAACCTCTGTCTTCGCGGAATTATAAATCGTATACCAAGCACCAACCATCTACGACAACCAGAACTCAATGGAGGACCTTATTGCTTCCCGTAGGACGCCCAGCTGAACGCGGCTTCGCCTATCCTGCGACTGACGAGGGCCGGCGAGACGGCCTGGGGTCCACTACCCGGCTACGACTGGACGATATTCCAGGCGAACCACAGTACGTACGAGCCCCTCGCCTGGGCTCATCGTGACAGCCTCGAGTACGCCACCCACGGGGGGCCACTCGCTACGGTCATGCAGGCAAGTCACCCTATCACCCCCATCTTTGATAAGTTTGCGGATTTCCGTGTGGAGTGCGGGGTACGGTGACGGGAAGGGGAGACGGAGAGTGGAGACTCGAGGAAGGCCTTCTCTCAAAGAGGTCTTGGCATTGTCGATGAGCCATGCCATCGAACTGCTGCTCTCTGCCCTGTCTCGCGCAGTTTCATAATTGTGCTCCTTTAATGGCAGATCTGGAATTCCATACTGCTTTAATGGAATTTTCTTACTTTGCTCACGAAATCCTTTCAAACTATCGAGTATTACTTCCGGTGTCCTTGCGCTTTTCGACGACCTGCCTCATAGACCCCACGTTAATTTAATTATAAACAGACTGAATATCAAAGTAATGGAAACTAGCGATTTTGTAAAAGAATTTTATATTATCATTAATATAATGCGTGACATTTAATTGTGTTATGACTATATTCGATATAACTTTGTTAAAGTTTTTGAAATAACCTTTGTTACTCCTGTGAATCTCCTTCTATCTCCCCCCCCCCAATCTACAAATATTATATGACTTTATTATGTTTGTCGTATAAATAATGTTCTCCTTAGACTTTAATGATTGAACACAAAAATTCCACAACAAAGAAATACAATTAGTAGGATGAATTTACGCGAATAGATAAAATGCATAAAATATAGGTAAACTAACACGTGCTCTCTCTCACTTTACATTTTTCAATTTTCAAGCTTTCATCTTGATTAGAAAAAACATTTATATTCGAGTATCAATAATATACGCGATAAACTTTGTCATATTTTAAGAAAAATATAAATCTATGTCATTGCAATCGTATAAAATGAAAAAAAAAAACATCATTTCAAAATAGTACAATTGGTTGAACAATGGCACTACGTTGTTAATTATGAATTTTGCTTTATTGCGTACCAATATTGATGCATTGTAGTATTATAGAATAAATGATACGGAATCCACAAGATTTTATAAACTATTTAAAGTATTTGATTAACTGTAAAATAACTGACATTTTTCGATTAAAAATATAATTGTATATATATATATATATATATATATATATATATATATATATATAGTGTAAGGGACATCAACTTAGAGAAATTACAAAGATTCGTAATTATAAAGAATTAATGAACCAACGAATAGTGTAATATCTACATTATTGACGAAATACTTATATCAAGATGTGTATTAATAAATAAATTAAGTTTTTTTTTGAAAACTAGCGATTCACTGATAATAAAATTATGAAATTTTTGCTCAATTCAAGAAGAGAATGAAAATTTTTCAATTGATATTTAATTATATACCATATACAAGTATGTATGCGTGAGAAAGAACTCGGTACATTAGTCTTATTAATTATTTTGACTAACAGTGCATAATTAAGATTCTCTTCTGCTATTATTGCTAAAGCTTAATTGCAAGTATCAATATCATTTATTAGAATAATGAAAGAAGACGCGATGACTCGTGTAAAAATTGGAAAATCAACATAAAATATTAAAACCACTTTCTAAAATATTCATTAAATATGATGTTCGTTAAATATATGTTGTTAGGATTAGCGCCATTTTCATTATTGAATCCATGAAAAGGCATGAGAAACTAGAATAATAATATCTCTCCGCTAAACGAAATTCTAAATTGGCAAAAAATTTATCTTTTTTTTTCTTCTATTCATATGCATTATTTCAATTTCTTGTATTCCAGCATCCTTATATTCGATAAATAAAACTAATTTAATAACTTTTTTCGGACAGTGTCCTAATATGGTTATATAACTTTTCGGGCAAATATGATATTTCGTTTAATCCCCTTTGGCTCTTTGTCATTTTGCTATCAGGATATTTGCTCGGAGTATGCATTTATTTTAATTTCCGTGAAGAAAAAATTCAATATTCTTTATCTACGGTATCTATGCCTTGTATTTGCTTTGCGCTGTAAGAAATGTTTTTTCATGCCCATAGAACTTCTACATAAGCAAGTAAATTCATTTCTTAAGTACGGAAAAAAAAAACAAAAAAAAAATTAACCTTACATACACCTAGTTATATCTAATAAAAAGCTAAAGGTACAACTATAAATGAACATTGTCGCCGGTTCTTGCTCTGATCCTACGCCAGCCAAAACTAACAAACATTAGTCCTGTTGAAGAAAAAAAAAAGTATAGAGTCGCGGCATTGCATTAAATGGCTTAAGAGAGAGAGAGAGAGAGAGAGAGAGAGAGAGAGAGTCTCTATTTTCGTCTTTCTTCGCGTATTCGCTGCCATTCTCTCTCCTACTTTATACAACATTGTCGCGATATTTTTTCGCCGCGGACAACCTCTGGCTTAAGCTCGCCAGTGTTTCGAATCCATTTTTTCACGTCTCCCAGAGCGAGCTCTATCTTTCGGCCATCCACTTTTCTCCTACTTTTCCAGGCGGCCACATCCTACCACATCCTCACACATGCTTGTGCCCGAAGCACGAAACGTAATTCCGTCGAAGCATTCATCGTACTCTTCGTGCGAGCACTTTGTTAGCCACTCATTTTTCTAACACTGTACCACACTATTTTCTGTGCTGCTCTTTTCCTCCACATTTTTCTTACTCGCCACATCCGTTTATTTCGTCGCTTATTACTCCTTTTATATTGGACTCGTTTCGTCTCTTCACTTTGTTAGACACGATTATTTATTTCAATTAATCGGACCTGCTCCTTCCTACTAATTGTCATATCCTGGTGAACCGTACCTGCGATTGGATATTTACAAAATTATAATTTACATACGCTAACAAGGAAGAATATTGTATGTGGCCGTTTAGGATATTTGGCGAAGAGAATTGTGCTCGTGGCAGCTGAAAATCAGAATATAACAAAATATATAATATTTTATTTAAGGAGATGAATTCTATCTAATTACGTTATTTGCCAACGACTGACAGATATCATTGACAAATAAATTAATACATCCGTAATTCATCATTATTTAACATTTAGTCATTTAATGCTATTATAAGATTATTAAACGCGCGCTTAATTGTTATATCGGCTATTTAAAGCGATTATCTTGTAAATTCGTTGAATGTAAAAATTTCTTTTGACAAAAATATTGTCAATGCGTGTTTAATAATTTTTTAAAACAATAATAATAACAATCTTTTCAAATAATTTTTTCGTTTTTCAGATAAGTTTTAAACAATTGCTTTACCTACATTTTTTCATTGTCTTAGAATATTATGGCGACAGTAGTAATGTAGCAATGAGCACCGTAGAAAATAAAAATCTTTGACTGCGCGAAAAAGTAGAAGTTATAAGCTGCGCATTGAACAAAAAATGTTCCTTTAATTTTGCACACAAAATCACGACTATTTCTACTAATATATGAAAGTATTTAAACATATTAACTATACGCCGTTTTTCTTCTTCTTCTTCTTCTTCTTCTTCTTCTTCTTCTTCTTCTTCTTCTTTAACCATTTTTTTTCGCCAAGATAGTTTCTTCTAAAACAAATGAAAAATAAAATTGAATTTGACCCATTCCTTTCACCAATGATTACATGATCCGTTTACGTTAATCTATAATCACTTGAAATCCTTTCGAAAAATAAAAAATCTACCCAACGTCCCTTTTAATTCATTGCAATACCGAGGCTGATTTAACGAAACTGGCATACTGAAGGATGCGCATAAAGAAATGGTGAAAGCTGAGATAAACGACGTAAGAAAATGAGCACGAGAGAGGGTAGACGCAGAATTACCAGAAGATGTAAAGTGAGTCGGTACTATAGTAGCTGAGGAATGAAATTAACCGTGCAAGAATCTACGCATGATTTTTAAAGAAAAGTAATATCAAAGTTGGCTTTTACGAGACCATACGAGAGAATAATAAAATGAATTTTTCTCAATGTTTTTCCTCCATTTATTCCTCAATTTATTCTCAAATATTAATAAAATATATGAGATCAATTTCAATACTTTGTCTACATCTTGCAAAGCTAAACTCTGTCGGCAATGCGTATAATACAATAAACAAATGCATAATAATTAAAACGTGTTAACAATTTTCACAAAAAAAAAAAAAAAAAAAAAAAAAAACCAAAAGAAAAAACCAAAAAATTCAAATTTTTTCACTATAATGAATGCTTATTCAAGTGTATGATTGACTTATCGACAGTCGAGTATAGCTGATCGATAAAAGTGTTACACATTCAATCTTATTATTTCCAATAACTTTAAAAGAATTTTATTAAAACATTAAACGAAACAGCAGAAATTAATCTGTACTTTTGAATAAAGCAGCGTGAATATTTGCGACAAGCCAGTTGTTGAGATAAGCATGTCAAGATTAACATCAACAAATAAAATCCTTATCCCTAGCTCTATCGCACGAAGAGAAATACAAAGAATATGTTGTGGATGAAACAAAAATCTGTTTGCGTGTGTATGAATACGTGTAGCGTATGCCGGTAAGGGGCGGGAAGTAGCCGGGGGATGAGAAATAAGCAAAGGAAGGAACTAACAGTACGGAGAAGTGCAAAAACTATAAGTACCTGCGAAGAAGAATAGCTGACAGGGGCAAAACAATCCACGTCGAGTCGTTACTCCCCTTTTTCGAATGGAGCAACACTCCAAGATTCGCGCCTCGCACGAGAATTTCCATCCGGAGTCCGGAATTCGCGATTCCAAGATTCCAGAGGAGTAGCGAAAGGAACGAGTATGTTGATTCAGTGGTGCTTTCTTTTTCATTTAATCTCCCTTCCCGCTGTCTTGGGGCTTCGATATTTTCATCAGAGCCTGTACAAAATGCAAATGCACGCAGCACGGCGACTTTATTCATTTATCCAACTAATTAAAGGATACAAAGTAATTCCGTATTAATGTAAATTATTCTTCGATTCGTATTATGATTGGTGTGCCTACACGCGTAACACTATCTTTTAACCATAAAATTTTGAAATGTGAAGTGAATTAATAATTGCCTCATTTCAAGATTCTTATTGTACATTTCAA